GAACCAGAAATCGGACCGCTATGACGTATCCCCCTGCTCACCTGCCGTTCGGCGTCAGCATGAAAATGGAGGGTGGTTTAAAGGGGAACTCCTGGGGGAATATGAGCTTCCCGTGATAGAAGCCGTCTGGAATAAGAGACCACCGTCAGTCAACGAAGCCTAGGGTTCAACGGGAGCCTTTGCTCTTTCGTACTGGGCCCCGACGGCTCACAGTTCTTCCTGATGTCTAGGGCAGATTTATGGAAGGGCTATCGTGATCGTGGAACAAACCTTCATATGGGGTGTCTGGCGCGCCGAATACCACGTAATGCCTGGGGGGTAGAAAGCAACAATCTCAAAAAACATTACACGGAAACTCAAGGGTTATAATCGTCAAAATGCTGATCGCCAACTCCGCTGGAAGGATGGGCAGCTCTTGACATGGGCAAGCATCTGAGTCGTGAGTCGTGGTTTCCTTACCATCGCTTCTTTCCAATGGTGTCTATATATAGCTGAGCGCAATGCCGTATTCCACGACGAAAATATCTCTGGAGGTTCGATGACCAGGCCCTACTTACTTTCTAGCCTAACAATAAATTCCCTCACCGCCTGGGCAAGTCGTGTCAACTTGAACAATGGAACTCGGGTCTGTCATCGGCGATTCCTTATGTCGAAAGCGAGAAGGAGACAAGAGATGAGAGTTGATAGTATTGCGGGAAAAATTCGATCTGTTCTGCCATTTGAGGATTCGGAGATCAAGCAAGACTCCGGAGCACGGACGTGAGAGCGACCAATGGCTCGCTCTCCTTGATTCTGAGCGCGGTGCTCTAGAAGTGAGAGTGAGATGGGCGACTTTGAACGCGCGCAGAGATGCTACATATACCACACAGGCCGGGGAAAACGTATTTTCCCCACAAAGAGCCACAGTCAGAGTCAGCGCACAATCAGCCGTCGAATGACAGCGCCGAGAGAGATTCGAAGCAATGGCGTCCCCGGATGAAAGAAGGATTGAGAGCTGGAATCGTGGACTCTATCGAAATCGCGAATCCTCAAGTGATAAAACAGATTCAATTCTACCAGTAATACTATCGATTCTCATCTGATGTCTATCTGTTTATCTAAGCGGGCCGTTCAAGAACCCCGCAGATACCCCGGTTAAAAAGTTCGGGAAATTGAGGATCGGGGGAGATGGAGGGGGTGCACCGCTTTCCGGACCCCATATAGCGTTTGTCTGAGCGATGCTCCCGAACATGCCTGACCGAGCGATTTCGGTGGCGCCGCGACGTGGTTATGCCTCCTGTTTTAACAGAAGAAGAAGAGCATCTTCACGATGGAAGGCGAGCCCAAGGCGTGAGTGATCATCTCTTCCCGAACGGCACTCGACCTGGATTTTGAGCGCCAATATTGCCCCATATTCGTGTCGGGATAGATAAGTGGTCCTGAAACACCCTATACCAAACACCGGAACGTACTCAGGTTGACTCGGAGCTGCTCGCGGGCAGGCGTCGGCCGGGTGATCCCTCTGGACTTTCTCTTCGGCGGTGCCGAGCGGGACCGCTTCCGTGACGCCTTTGACTACGCCCGCCGTGAGCTATCTCGGTCGATACCGTCATTTCGTCAATGGTTGAATCGGAAGATCTCATTCGAGCTCGTTCCGAATCATCAGCAGGCAGCTGACGGTTCTTCCGCATCGAGCAGACGCGAATGTTGGAGTCTCGAGCTCTGCATGATAAATAACGTCCGCGGAGGTTCGGGCCTCTAAGGATGACGAAGGGGGTCATCTCCTGTATGACGCTCAATGAGATGGACAAATAGATGCAATCAAGGTATATCCAGCGAATTCCGCCGCTGGAATCTCGAGACGTTGCCCATACCGGGGGCGGAATAGGTCTCCTGGCGGTCCGGGCAGAACATTGGAAGAGTGGTCTGTAGCGTTTTATCTGCCGAGTTCGCCTTCGGCCGGATTTCGATAACTCAGCATACGATCCATCCGTTATTCCATTTCGGTTCTCATGACATTTCGCTGCTCGCTTCCAACTCCGGATCTTCTTGAATAAGGTCAAGTTCTCAGGAACTCAGCTCTCTTCGAGAGAAAATCCAAAAATCCTGAGAAGGACGACAATGCTCCTAAATATTCAGGGACCCTGGGAAGCATCGTCTCTGCATGAGGCTCTCCCTGTCTGCTATAAGTCTGAGGGCCGTTACGAATACCTTTAGGATACATTTGATCCAGTGAATACTCGAAGCTCGTCGCGGAGCCAAGATGCCTTGGGGCCAAGCCGGTTGCGAAATAAGCTCCGTTCGCGTGAAGCTCCCCATTTCTTGTTTATTCAGACCGTACTGCCGTGCGTCTCCGATTATGTGGGCCCTCAACAATTTTTGTCTCACTGTGCGGCCGTTTACACCGTCAAATCGAAGCGTATTGTCCAGGTAGTCTCTAATGCCGTTTCGGGTGTGCGGGACGGAATCTCCCCCGTGATAATTTAGATCATGATGAGTCGTCTGGAACCCTGGCGGGCTTGCTTACGCTAGAATCGCTGCCTGGCACCAGCTTGGGGACCTTTTTGGAAAAAATCGCGCCCTCCCCCAAGTTGACCTGATTAATCTCAGGCGGCAATTTCTCCAACATTGGAATATTCTTGTGGTAGAGCTGCCGGAAATCCACGTCACGGTACCATGGATGCTCTTTGATGTTTTTCGCGCCGCCCAACGTCACGCCGAGTCGCTCGGTTACTTTTTGGTGGAACAGTCCGCGGAGGAAATCGCTCAAACTTGAGTCGGCAGGTGTCGCCTCTGCCCCTTCGAAGCCTCCGGTTAGGGGCAAGAGGTCTCGGATAACCATTCCGAACATCCACCAGTCAGAGCAGAGCGATGAAACCAACAGGGCTTTAATTTGCTCTGGCGCGATCACACCTCTCTTCCCCGTCAGTCTGAACATCTGATTAGGATCGTCTTCTCGGATCGCCATGGCTATACCGAAATCACAGAGTTTCACGTATCCATCCTCGAACAGGACAATGTTGCTACATTTCAAATCTCTGTGCGCTACGCGGCACTCGTGCATGTACTCTAGGGCTAAGACAACTTGAGCTGAAATGAGCTTCACGGGCTGTTCGGACCTCGAATCTCGTATGCACGTAATGTGCCGTGATAGAGCTCCCCGCGGCGCGAGCTCGAGGGCGATGTAGATAATCTTGTCGTCTCGGAAAGCAAAAAATACTTCCACTATGAACGGCGACTCAAGAGAGTGGATGATCCTCTTCTCTTCGAGAGCGTTCTCATACGTCGATTGCTTTAGCGCATATACTTGGCCATCTTTGTATCGGGACAGATAAACTGTCCCGTAACATCCTGAACCCAGCTGCATACTGAACTCGAAATCACTCAAAGCTGCTTCGGGACACTCGTCGGCGTCATACTTCTGTTTGAAAAACTGCTGAGCTGATTCGAGATGAAGCCCATAAGCAGCTGGCCCATGCTTATCGGCTGTCGATCCGATGTTGTCCGTCAAATTGCCTATGACTTCCTCAGTTCTTGGCCGTTTACGCGGCGGATTATCAGACGGCTCGCCCATCGTTATCTAGTGGAAACAAGTATCTAAATTCTGAGCTATGCTCAACAGGGAAACTGAGAGCAAGATACAGGGTCGATCCGCGTTCGAGAGAGAGACTGAGAAGCCCAGGAGAGATCGAGTTTTCGAGGTCAAAGAACATCGGGACTCCGACTGACTCCTCGTGACTCGTGACATCGGAATCGCTTCCAAAACCTCAGCTCTCCGTTGACAAGATGATGCGGCGTCGCGTCGTCGGGGCACTGACTCCTTCCATCTCCGATCGACTCAGTTCTCTCCGTTTAAAGGGGGACTGCCGATAAATAATTCACGATAAATAAATGACAAAATAACGAGGATTTATTCATCGATAATAAATCAGCATCTCCGTTCCTCCCACATCTCACGTCGGTCGTCTTTAGATCCACGGTGACATCGACGCGTGGTGATTCTTCCCAAACACGTAAGTTTTCGGTGCATCGACACTTTAGGAAAAGGACCGATTCGTGATTTCCCGAATTTGACTCACTATGAGTCTTTCATCAACAAATACGTCGATTCCTTTCTGTTCCACATTAAATGAATTCAATACAATATTCTCCTTCAAGGCTGGAAGAAAATATTCTCGGCAGACATCTTTCTCCCATTCGAGAGTTCGCGAGAATCGTATTAGCACGTGCTCTTTGAGCGCCAGGAAAAAATATCCTACATGTCTAAGCCTCGAAAGCTCTAACTTGTAGTGGACTTCTCAGCATTCGTCAGAAAGGCATTGCGCGTTTCTCTCGAAATTCTTCCAGACGATGTAGCGGGAATCATTGACTCCGGTAACTCGGTTAAACACTCGGAGCGACTGGAACATCATCATAAGGCTCAGCGGTTTTTCCCAAGATTATATCGACAACGTGTCTCAAGCTTAGACCTGTCCTCCGCTCTCGCGTCGCAAATGGAAAAGGCGGCAGGAAACCTCCCGAATCGGATGCCGGAGTTCTCATGACTTCTGACTCTCGTTGAGCTGGGTAGAGGTTTTCGTGGTCGAGAAAATCGAGATTTCTTCCCTCTCCTTTCTAATAGAACCCCACAGTCTGTCCATGTGAACCTATTATGTTTTCCCATAATCTCGCTCTTGATTCTTTATTCGGCGATTCTCCAATAATAAGACACCGTCCTTAGGTTTATGGCATGCCTGTGGCGCGTATCCTGCTTTTACAACAAAATTACGCGGTCTTTTATCAGGTGCGCGTGAACGACTTGACGTCGGAGCAAGCTTGCACGCCTCATATTGATCGCGAACATTTTCGTTCGACATCTACGTGTATCCGCACTAGAACACTCCCTCTCACGCGGCTCTTTCGACCTAAACACATTTGTCGTGAGGGAGGTGAAAAATATCGGCGACTTGAAGAGAATCGGCTTCAGCGATGGTATGGATGGTTCTTCACGTCGACTCCGGACCGCTAAGCGTTATGACATATTTTACGACGAACGCGAAAGCCGCAAACCCCAGTATCACCACGCAATTAGTCAGCAAAGACATGAGTTGCGACTGCATCTGAAAGAATAGTCTTCATTATAAACGGACGTGACGACGATGATCGACATGGGAAGCTCTTGGATTCAACCCGCCTGGCATCCAGAACCAGGTCAGAGGAGCAGGTCGAATGCCAGACTTGGATTTCAGGGCCAATGACGATCCAGACATGAATCTAGAGGAGTCTTCCGCAAATCTGGAGACCACGAACATGGAGGATATAGCTCACCTGATTGACTCCGGAGGCGATCGCTGTAGGAACTACCATAGCGTCGAGCTGACGCCTCTCCTTCTCTACTTGACGAGCGTGCAGCAAAGACCGACATTTCTGCGAACAAAACGACAAACTTCAACACGAGATACCGGTGAGAGAGAGGCTTCATGAAATGAGGAGCGTGATTGGATCTTTTAAATGATCGACTCGCTCCATCGAAATCATCAGAACATCCATTCGGTGATTCCTAGTTTGCTCCATGCGGAAAATCATTCAAGTTTCACTCAATCGATCCGTAGGTCATCGAGACCGAACAAGTTTTCTATCGAGGACAAAATGAAGCGAAGAACGTCGTATGATAATCACAGATCGTGCGTCTGATGCCCATCAGTCTGCCTCGGATTTTTCGTGCCACCAATACCTACCTCCGCTATCGCGGGGAAGAGTTCACAAAAGGTCGGATCCGCTAGGTTGAATTCGAGGCTTTTCTCAGCGAGTTGCCTCTTTTCTCTGTCAGTTGATTCGATTGAGCCCAATGTAGGTGTTTTCTCTGACATGAAACTTTGAAGACCCATCAAGATGGCTCCGGCGCTCCATGTAGGATTCCACGTCTCTGGATGGT